CCATGTATACTTAATGTGGAGCTCTACTGGAGCCTGTATGCCATGTATACTTAATGTGGAACTCTACGGTAGCCTGTATGTCATGTATACTTAATGTGGAACTCTACGGTAGCCTGTATGCCATGTATACTTAATGTGGAACTCTACGGTAGTCTGTATGCCATGTATACTTAATGTGGAACTCTACGGTAGCCTGTATGTCATGTATACTTAATGTGGAATTCTACAGTAGTCTGTATGCCATGTATGTATAATGTGGATCTCTACGGTAGCCTGTATGTCATGTATACTTAATGTGGAGCTCTACGGTAGCCTGTATGCCATGTACACTTAATGTGGAACTCTACGGAAGTCTGTATGTCATGTATGTATAATGTGGATCTCTACGGTAGCCTGTATGTCATGTATACTTAATGTGGAACTCTACGGTAGCCTGTATGCCATGTATACTTAATGTGGAACTCTACGGGAGCCTGTATGCCATGTATACTTAATGTGGAACTCTACGGTAGTCTGTATGCCATGTATACTTAATGTGGAACTCTACGGTAGTCTGTATGCCATGTATACTTAATGTGGAACTCTACGGTAGCCTGTATGTCATGTATACTTAATGTGGAATTCTACAGTAGTCTGTATGCCATGTATGTATAATGTGGAACTGTACGGTAGCCTGTATGTCATGTATACTTAATGTGGAATTCTACAGTAGTCTGTATGCCATGTATGTATAATGTGGATCTCTACGGTAGCCTGTATGTCATGTATACTTAATGTGGAACTCTACGGTAGCCTGTATGCCATGTATACTTAATGTGGAACTCTACGGTAGTCTGTATGCCATGTATACTTAATGTGGAACTCTACGGTAGCCTGTATGTCATGTATACTTAATGTGGAATTCTACAGTAGTCTGTATGCCATGTATGTATAATGTGGATCTCTACGGTAGCCTGTATGTCATGTATACTTAATGTGGAGCTCTACGGTAGCCTGTATGCCATGTACACTTAATGTGGAACTCTACGGAAGTCTGTATGTCATGTATGTATAATGTGGATCTCTACGGTAGCCTGTATGTCATGTATACTTAATGTGGAACTCTACGGTAGCCTGTATGCCATGTATACTTAATGTGGAACTCTACGGGAGCCTGTATGCCATGTATACTTAATGTGGAACTCTACGGTAGTCTGTTTGCCATGTATACTTAATGTGGAACTCTACGGTAGCCTGTATGCCATGTATACTTAATGTGGAATTCTACGGTAGCCTGTATGCCATGTATACTTAATGTGGAACTCTACGGGAGCCTGTATGTCATGTATACTTAATGTGGAACTCTACGGTAGTCTGTATGCCATGTATACTTAATGTGGAACTCTACGGTAGCCTGTATGTCATGTATACTTAATGTGGAATTCTACAGTAGTCTGTATGCCATGTATGTATAATGTGGATCTCTACGGTAGCCTGTATGTCATGTATACTTAATGTGGAACTCTACGGTAGCCTGTATGTCATGTATACTTAATGTGGAGCTCTACGGTAGCCTGTATGCCATGTATACTTAATGTGGATCTCTACGGTAGTCTGTATGCCATGTATACTTAATGTGGAACTCTACGGTAGCCTGTATGTCATGTATACTTAATGTGGAATTCTACAGTAGTCTGTTTGCCATGTATGTATAATGTGGATCTCTACGGTAGCCTGTATGTCATGTATACTTAATGTGGAGCTCTACGGTAGCCTGTATGCCATGTACACTTAATGTGGAACTCTACGGAAGTCTGTATGTCATGTATGTATAATGTGGATCTCTACGGTAGCCTGTATGCCATGTATACTTAATGTGGATCTCTACGGTAGCCTGTATGCCATGTATACTTAATGTGGAACTCTACGGTAGCCTGTATGTCATGTATACTTAATGTGGAGCTCTACGGTAGCCTGTATGTCATGTATACTTAATGTGGAACTCTACGGTAGCCTGTATGCCATGTATACTTAATGTGGAACTCTACGGGAGCCTGTATGTCATGTATACTTAATGTGGAACTCTACGGTAGTCTGTATGCCATGTATACTTAATGTGGAACTCTACGGTAGCCTGTATGCCATGTATACTTAATGTGGAATTCTACGGTAGCCTGTATGCCATGTATGTATAATGTGGAACTCTACGGGAGCCTGTATGTCATGTATACTTAATGTGGAACTCTACGGTAGTCTGTATGCCATGTATACTTAATGTGGAACTCTACGGTAGCCTGTATGCCATGTATACTTAATGTGGAACTCTACGGTAGCCTGTATGCCATGTATACTGAATGTGGAACTCTACGGTAGCCTGTATGCCATGTATACTTAATGTGGAACTCTACGGTAGCCTGTATGCCATGTATACTTAATGTGGAACTCTACGGTAGCCTGTATGTCATGTAGACATAATGTGGATCTCTACGGTAGTCTGTATGCCATGTATACTTAATGTGGAACTCTACGGTCGCCTGTATGCCATGTATAGTTAATGTGGAACTTCACGGTAGCCTGTATGCCATGTATACTTAATGTGGATCTCTACGGTAGTCTGTTTGTCATGCATACTTAATGTGGAACTCTACGGTAGCCTGTATATCATGTATACTTAATGTGGAACTCTACGGTAGCCTGTATGTCATGTATACTTAATGTGGAACTCTACGGTAGCCTGTATGCCATGTATGTATAATGTGGAACTCTACGGGAGCCTGTATGTCATGTATACTTAATGTCGAGCTCTACGGTAGTCTGTATGCCATGTATACTTAATGTGGAGCTCTACTGGAGCCTGTATGCCATGTATACTTAATGTGGAACTCTACGGTAGCCTGTATGTCATGTATACTTAATGTGGAACTCTACGGTAGCCTGTATGCCATGTATACTTAATGTGGAACTCTACGGTAGTCTGTATGCCATGTATACTTAATGTGGAACTCTACGGGAGCCTGTATGCCATGTATACTTAATGTGGAATTCTACGGTAGCCTGTATGCCATGTATGTATAATGTGGAACTCTACGGGAGCCTGTATGTCATGTATACTTAATGTGGAACTCTACGGTAGTCTGTATGCCATGTATACTTAATGTGGAACTCTACGGGAGCCTGTATGCCATGTATACTTAATGTGGAACTCTATGGTAGCCTGTATGCCATGTTTACTTAATGTGGAACTCTACGGTAGCCTGTATGCCATGTATACTTAATGTGGAACTCTACGGTAGCCTGTATTCTATGTATGTATAATGTGGAACTCTACGGTAGTCTGTATGCCATGTATACTTAATGTGGAACTCTACGGTAGCCTGTATGCCATGTATACTTAATGATGAACTTTACGGTAGCCTGTATGCCATGTATACTTAATGTGGAACTCTACGGTAGCCTGTATGCCATGTATACTTAATGATGAACTTTACGGTAGCCTGTATGCCATGTATACTTAATGTGGAACTCTACGGTAGCCTGTAGATGAGCTTGGGTCAGGACTGTAGCCTTTACTGTATGTATGGGAGATGTGTTACATTTACTGTAGGTAAACGTTAGTCTCTGGAATATTCATGTATGTAAACATATTCCTGTTTACCACTCAATCTAACCGATCTCTGTTTGTCATCACATGAATTATACATCGCCAGCACATGCCTAGGTAAAGTTAACGTTGAACCCTGTGTCAGCTGATTTCTTATTCAGACTCTAGTGTACAATACAAACTTGATCCAGTTTTCTGAAACAACCTTCCCTTCGACATAATATGATGAAATATAATGTTTTTTGGAATACAGGATAATACCTAATTCTTGAGTTCTTTGTCCATGGTATTTTAATTAGCCTGCCTTTTGATGGGTTATGCTACAGTGTGTGAGATAGGATAGATATATAGGGCAACAGGTCGGCGTCTGTACCGTTATGTATAGCAGTACACTCTCCAAATATACTAAAAGCAAGTACCGTTATGTATGTATAGTAGTAAAATGTACACTCTCCAAATCTACTGAAAGCAAGTAACGCCTTGTTTATTAGTTCACAGGCTCTACAATAAACTGAATACATATTGACTGATAACAAGTTGGGACGATGTTCCTTCTGAGCTCACTTGACACTCACGCCTCAGTAGTCGTACAGCGTGTAAATGTCACTTTGCAGTGACAATATATAAAAACGCGACATTTAGGCGCAATCAGCGACACATTAGTTGAGTGGATGGTGGTTGACGCGTGGATGTACATGTATTTACCGCTAGGTCATGGTACTTCCATGTAGTCCATCCTTGACAGGCTACAGCTCTCTTGTCCTTTCGCCGACCACCAAAGCGATAAGTGGCTTGTCCGGGCCAGGGGCACCTGACACAAATATGAACGTGGCCGAAACGTACCACAAACTCCCCGTCGTCCGTTCTCTGTTCTAGTCGGCCCTGCTAAAATATGTCTTCCGATTTTCCCTAAACCGCTGACACCTTACATGGATCCTACCAATAGCATCCACCAACGTTGTACGAAACGTTTCCTTCCAAGGTCAAGTTTGGTTTCCACGGCAACCACACGAAACACATCATATACAATATGGCGGCCAGACGGGGAGATTAAGCACCACGATGGGCCACATATGCCGGTGCCTCCTGCCAAGTTTGGGCCAACAGCTTCGATGTTTTATGTCGTTTTTACGAAAGAATCCGACAGTCTGCACTTCAAAATAACGGCCAAACGACATGAATTTCGACAAGCAACCAGGAACATGAACGTTTTGAATTGTGTTTGTTTGTTTGTGTGTGGTTAAACGCCGCATTCAGCAATATTCCAGCTATATGACGGCGGTCTGTAAATAATCGAGTCTGGACCTGACAATCCTGTGATTGATATCATGAACATCGATCTACGTAATTAGGATGCGATGACATGCATTAAACAAGTCAGCTAGTCTGACCACCCGATCCCGTTAGTCGCCTTTTACGACAAGCAGCCATCTGGCTTGGAGGTTTGATCATTACGGGAAAGTCTGCAAACACATGTGGACACATGTGGACACATGTGGACATCTTTGTGATCTGGAGGCGACCTGAAGTCAAACCAAAACCAAAACCAGAACAGTTTGTTGACAGAACTCTTGAGTCAAATGTTTGCTGCGCCATTAAACACCGTGAAGAGAGACGAGGCGGTCCATCAGCTTGTCTTAACTGAATAACAATTCATGTCACAGCCAGCCTGAACGTCCGGGGCATGGAAACTTGCCATAACACTGGGATATGTCGGCCTGGGACAGTCGCGGAGTGACAGCGTACGGAACAGCATTAGGTGCGCTCTAAAACATCTCCCGATACAGGTACAGTCCAATCATTTATTTATTTAAACATTATAATAATAAGTGCATTTGTTAGGCTCTGTTAGGCTGAGTTCAAAGCGCACTTAATGTTAAGATGTCACGACAGTAGCATGCCCAGTAGAGGTAAAAGAAATAATTACTATTTGACAGGCTTCCTGCATTGCTTGTTGACGAGATATTGACGAATGCAATCTCTTGACCCCTCATCACGTGGCATTTAATGTTAGTTTCCCAACATTCGTCAAGTGTTTCTCGCCTGCGACTGTCTCCTGTCATAACAAACACTTTTCATCTCTCAGCATGAAGACATTCGATGAGATCCTGCAACACGTGGGGGAGTTTGGAACTTATCAGAAGAGGATATTCTTCTTTCTGTGTCTCCCCTCGGTGGTCACATCGTTCCTCACGTTCAGCTCCATCTTCACAATGTACATACCCCCTCACAGGTAATACTTCTACACCCTCTCACAGGTAATACCCCTCCCCCTCACAGGAAATACCCCTCCCCCTCACAGGAAATACCCCTCCCCTCACAGGTAATACCCCTCCCCTCACAGGTAATACCCCTCCCCCCTCACAGGTAATACCCCTCTCCCCTCACAGGTAATACCCCTCCCCCCTCACAGGTAATACCCCTCTCCCCTCACAGGTAATACCCCTCTCCCCTCACAGGTAATACCCCTCCCCTCACAGGTAATACCCTTACAACCCCTCTCCCCTGACAGGTAATACCCCTCCCCTCACAGGTAATACCCTTACAACCCCTCTCCCCTGACAGGTAATACCCCTCCCCCCTCACAGGTAATACCCCTCCCCTCACAGGTAATACCCCTCTCCCCTCACAGGTAACACCCCTCCCCCCTCACAGGTAATACCCCTCCCCTCACAGGTAATACCCCTCCCCTCACAGGTAATACCCCTCTCCCCTCACAGGTAATACCCCTCTCCCCTCACAGGTAATACCCCTCCCCCCTCACAGGTAATACCCCTCCCCTCACAGGTAATACCCCTCCCCCCTCACAGGTAATACCCCTCCCCCTCACAGGTAATACCCCTCTCCCCTCACAGGTAACACCCCTCCCCCCTCACAGGTAATACCCCTCCCTTCACAGGTAATACCCCTCCCCCCTCACAGGTAATACCCCGCTCCCCTCACAGGTAATACCCCTCTCCCCTCACAGGTAATACCCCCCTCCCCTCACAGGTAATACCCCTCTCCCCTCACAGGTAATACCCCTCCCCTCACAGGTAATACCCCTCCCCCACACAGGTAAGACCTCTCCCCCTCACAGGTAATACCCCTCCCCTCACAGGTAATTCCCCTCTCCCCTCACAGGTAATACCCCTTCCCCTCACAGGTAATACCCCTCCCCCCTCACAGGTAATACCCCTCCCCCCTCACAGGTAATACCCCTCTCCCCTGACAGGTAATACCCCTCTCCCCTCACCGGTAATACCCCTCCCCTCACAGGTAATACCCCCTCCCCCCTCACAGGTAATACCCCTCTCCCCTCACAGGTAATACCCCTCCCCTCACAGGTAATACCCCTCTCCCCTCACAGGTAATACCCCTCTCCCCTCACAGGTAATACCCCTCCCCCCTCACATGTAATACCCCTCCCCTCACAGGTAATACCCCTCCCCTCACAGGTAATACCCCTCCCCCCTCACAGGTAATACCCCTCCCCTCACAGGTAATACCCCTCTCCCCTCACAGGTAATACCCCTCCCCCCTCACAGGTAATACCCCTCCCCCCTCACATGTAATACCCCTCCCCTCACATGTAACACCCCTCACCCCTCACAGGTAATACTCCTCTCCCCTCACGTGTAATACCCTTACACCCCCTCCCCCATCACAGGTAATACCCTTACACCCCCTCCCCCATCACAGGTAATACCCCTCTCCCCTCACAGGTAATACCCTTCCCCCCTCACAGGTAATACCCTTACACTCCCTCCCTCATCACAGGTAATACCCCTCCCCCCTCACAGGTCATACCCTTACACCTCCTCCCCCATCACAGGTAATATCCCTCTCTGGTAATCACTGTAAATCACAACTCTGCCCCTACAACTAACACACATTTAAAGCAGTTCGCCCCGTTAAGTCGTCCTTTCTCTCCAAGACACACGCACTAAGTAACTCTGAAACAAACATCCCCACGTCCATGAACTCCAGGTGCCAACATTGTCGTCAATCATTTTCCTCATGTTTTTTTGAATTCCTCTCTGTTTCCCGACGATAGATGTGCAGTCCCCGGCCTCAGTAACGACACCTACGCCATACAGGGAGACAACCATCGTCGTCTGGTCAACTTCACCATTCCCATTAAAGATGGTGCATACTCCAAATGTGATGTCTACACGGATGACGTCACAGACCTTGCTAAAAGGTCAGACAACTCCAGTCAGTCCCAGTGCAGCGAATGGGTGTACGACAAATCAATTTTTACATCAACCATAACAGAAGATGTGAGTTATATTTTTCTTATAACTTGTCAATAGGTTTAATCTTTTCCAAACGATACGTCATAAACTGCTAGTTATTGCATTGACTTTTCAATACAAATACCATCTGTACAGAGGCTTTAAGACCTGAAAGTGTTTTGGATCCAAATCGTTATGAGAATTGTGTGTGCTAACCATGGATGTACCTGGTGTGTGAAAATAATGTAATGTGGTCCATCGCCTCAAAACATTTCTTGTTATGAACGTAATTCTTATCATACATGACAATGATGTGATTATAAGTATTCTCAACAATACACTTGTGAATTTAAAGAATCCTTGTTAGCAATGGGCGTCCTGTGACGTATTGCGAACTTCATCATCTCTGGCCCCGTGTTCCTCTTCACAGCTATCCCTGGTGTGTGACAACGTGGTGATGCGGTCCCACTCCAACATGGCGGTGATGGCGGGGATGCTGGTTGGCTCGTTCGGGCAGAGTATCATCAGTGATATGTGAGAGCACCCCTGTGTTAAGAGAGACTCTGCAATTGGCTCCTCTTTTGTCTGTCCAGCATGGCCTGTCTTTATCTCTTGGTATGTGTGTCTCTTTCTGTACGTGTGGCTCTGTCCTACTGTCCGTGTGTCTGTCCCTCTGTGTCTGACAGTCTCTGTACCATTCGCTTTGACTCTGTTATAGCATGCCCAGGAAAAGAATACATTTGGTTCAGATAGTATCATTTTAATGTTTTCTGGGTTACTGAAGCATGCTACTTATTATAGAATAGGCTGTGACTCTGTGACTCTGTTATAGCATGCCCAGGAAAAGAATACATTTGGTTCAGATAGTATCATTTTAATGTTTTCTGGGTTACTGAAGCATGCTACCTATTATAGAATAGGCTGTGACTCTGTGACTCTGTGACTCTGTTATAGCATGCCCAGGAAAAGAATACATTTGGTTCAGATAGTATCATTTTAATGTTTTCTGGGTTACTGAAGCATGCTACCTATTATAGAATAGGCTGTGACTCTGTGACTCTGTTATAGCATGCCCAGGAAAAGAATACATTTGGTTCAGATAGTATCATTTTAATGTTTTCTGGGTTACTGAAGCATGCTACTTATTATAGAATAGGCTGTGACTCTGTGACTCTGTTATAGCATGCCCAGGAAAAGAATACATTTGGTTCAGATAGTATCATTTTAATGTTTTCTGGGTTACTGAAGCATGCTACCTATTATAGAATAGGCTGTGACTCTGTGACTCTGTGACTCTGTTATAGCATGCCCAGGAAAAGAATACATTTGGTTCAGATAGTATCATTTTAATGTTTTCTGGGTTACTGAAGCATGCTACCTATTATAGAATAGGCTGTGACTCTGTGACTCTGTGACTCTGTTATAGCATGCCCAGGAAAAGAATACATTTGGTTCAGATAGTATCATTTTAATGTTTTCTGGGTTACTGAAGCATGCTACCTATTATAGAATAGGCTGTGACTCTGTGACTCTGTTATAGCATGCCCTGGAAAAGAATACATTTGGTTCAGATAGTATCATTTTATTCTTTTCTGGGTAACTGAAGCATGCTACCTATTATAGAATAGGCTGTGACTCTGTGACTCTGTTATAGCATACCCAGGAAAAGAATACATTTGGTTCAGATAGTATCATTTTAATGTTTTCTGGGTTACTGAAGCATGCTACCTATTATAGAATAGGCTGTGACTCTGTGACTCTGTGACTCTGTGACTCTGTGACTCTGTTATAGCATGCCCAGGAAAAGAATACATTTGGTTCAGATAGTATCATTTTAATGTTTTCTGGGTTACTGAAGCATGCTACCTATTATAGAATAGGCTGTGACTCTGTGACTCTGTTATAGCATGCCCAGGAAAAGAATACATTTGGTTCAGATAATATCATTTTAATGTTTTCTGGGTTACTGAAGCATGCTACCTATTATAGAATAGGCTGTGACTCTGTGACTCTGTTATAGCATGCCCAGGAAAAGAATACATTTGGTTCAGATAGTATCATTTTAATGTTTTCTGGGTTACTGAAGCATGCTACCTATTATAGAATAGGCTGTGACTCTGTGACTCTGTGACTCTGTTATAGCATGCCCAGGAAAAGAATACATTTGGTTCAGATAGTATCATTTTAATGTTTTCTGGGTTACTGAAGCATGCTACCTATTATAGAATAGGCTGTGACTCTGTGACTCTGTGACTCTGTTATAGCATGCCCAGGAAAAGAATACATTTGGTTCAGATAGTATCATTTTAATGTTTTCTGGGTTACTGAAGCATGCTACCTATTATAGAATAGGCTGTGACTCTGTGACTCTGTTATAGCATGCCCAGGAAAAGAATACATTTGGTTCAGATAGTATCATTTTATTCTTTTCTGGGTAACTGAAGCATGCTACCTATTATAGAATAGGCTGTGACTCTGTGACTCTGTTATAGCATACCCAGGAAAAGAATACATTTGGTTCAGATAGTATCATTTTAATGTTTTCTGGGTTACTGAAGCATGCTACCTATTATAGAATAGGCTGTGACTCTGTGACTCTGTGACTCTGTGACTCTGTGACTCTGTTATAGCATGCCCAGGAAAAGAATACATTTGGTTCAGATAGTATCATTTTAATGTTTTCTGGGTTACTGAAGCATGCTACCTATTATAGAATAGGCTGTGACTCTGTGACTCTGTTATAGCATGCCCAGGAAAAGAATACATTTGGTTCAGATAATATCATTTTAATGTTTTCTGGGTTACTGAAGCATGCTACCTATTATAGAATAGGCTGTGACTCTGTGACTCTGTTATAGCATGCCCAGGAAAAGAATACATTTGGTTCAGATAGTATCATTTTAATGTTTTCTGGGTTACTGAAGCATGCTACCTATTATAGAATAGGCTGTGACTCTGTGACTCTGTTATAGCATGCCCAGGAAAAGAATACATTTGGTTCAGATAGTATCATTTTAATGTTTTCTGGGTTACTGAAGCATGCTACCTATTATAGAATAGGCTGTGACTCTGTGACTCTGTTATAGCATGCCCTGGAAAAGAATACATTTGGTTCAGATAGTATCATTTTAATGTTTTCTGGGTTACTGAAGCATGCTACCTATTATAGAATAGGCTGTGACTCTGTGACTCTGTTATAGCATGCCCAGGAAAAGAATACATTTGGTTCAGATAGTATCATTTTAATGTTTTCTGGGTTACTGAAGCATGCTACCTATGGTAGAAAGCTAGGTTAGAACTTATATGTACTTCCGGTCAACTCTATCTGCCCTGTGGTATAACTGGATTCATTTTTGCCTTTCAAGGTTTGGGCGGAAGAAGGCGTGCATGATCTTCCTGTTTATGTTGATTTGTGTCGGCTTCCTGAACTACGTCATCCGTGACTTCGCTTCCCTCATCATCATCCGTTTCCTTACTGGCTGCGGGACAACATCGGTGGGCATTGCATGCTACGTTATGGGTACGTCATGGTCACTTCATGGGTACGTCAAGGGCACTTTGTTTGTACGTCACTGAACGACCGCAAAACATAAATCTACATTTGGAACACAAAGATCATATAACATCCAACAATTATTTTTTTTGCTGCCGTTATTGTGTGTATTATGTTGCAATGTAAGCTTTTCTTGAAAGCTTACCAAATATATTTTCAAATGAAACTCTTTTTAAAAAGGTTAATTCCTAGATCTGTGGATAATTACGTAATTGTGCTTGACCACATGCAGTTACATTGTATCTAACTTGAGGGAGATTATCAAGATCATGGCATCAAAATTGCAGGGACATTTCCTATCCAATCCTTCGTCAGCACAAAAAAATGTTTTATTGTAAAGCTTTGCTGAAACGTGACGTTAGGGTTCGGGTTCGGGTTCGGGTCCGGGTCCGGGTCCGGGTTCGGGTTAGTTTTTCAAATTTCACCTTTTCTACAATGTTGGCCACTTGAAGACACTGGATGAGTGTGGAGGACATACCATTGTACCTTGTGTAGTTGCTGTGATGGGGATTTTTCAGCAATTGAACTGGTAGCTCCCGCAAAACGTGTCTACACTGGAATGGGAGGCCTGTTTCTATGGATGCTGGGGATGCTTCTGATGTCTGGTGTGGCCTATTTCCTCCGAGACTGGCACAATTACGTCCTCGCTCTGGCAGGCCCTTCAGTCTTCTTCCTCTCCTACTGGTGGTAAGCATCAAAGTTGTTATTCACATGATAAATAAATGTGACAGAACCCTTTCCATATTCATTAGAAATCTCTGCCAAAAGCAGAGTCGATTGTACGATTCTGACTATGTCATGAGCATGTGTTTATGAATCACTATTAAATAGGAATGACACCAGGTGTTCACGAAAAGGGGAGCGTACCCTGCTCCATTGGTGGCACCCTTCATAAACACAAGCAAAGACAAGTCAGTTGTTACCTGAAAAAAACATGAGAACATATGTGTACAAGTCAAAATAAGGAATTGCCTCGGACATCATTCTTGTCACTGATGCGTCAAATTTGGAAATCTATGACATTCACTTTATGACACTCCCACTGACTGTTAAAGGATTGTGCCAGAGTCTCCAAGGTGGCTGATGTCCAAAGGCAGGTTTGAAGAAGCAGAAGTCATCATCCGGAAGTTTGCAAAGGTCAACAAGACTACGCTTCCAGAAGACATGTTTGATGGTAAATGTGTGGAGGAGACTGATACACCCAAGGGCAAACTGTCTGAGCTGCTGACAAACAGAACCCTGGCGATTCGCTGTCTGATCATCAACTTCCACTGGTATGTGACCAGAGCCCTGTTCCACAAAGAGATCTTAGCACTAAGATGATCGTAACTCCCATACTTTAACATAGGTTTTCGATAATCGTAGCACCGAGAGCCCTCTGTGGAACAAGACCGAGGTTCTTTTCTTACTTCAACGTCACTTTCCTCGGGTCTTGACCTTACCTAAATTCAACACCCCCGGAACCGAAAAGAACTGGTCATCCAGTAGAACATTTGTAATGTGTATTTGTGTTACACAGGGCCGTCTGCAGTTTGATCTACTATGGGTTAACATTGAATGTCACCAACCTCAGCGGCAATGTCATTATCAACTTCGTGCTCTCTGGGCTGGTGGAGGCGGTGGGGTATGTGCTGACACTGTTCCTGCTCAATAGACTTGGCCGGAAGTGGCTGCATTGCAGCTTCTTGCTGGGCGGGGGTCTTGCCTGTCTCGCCACCATCTTCCCAGTCCTCTATGCTGCAGAGGGTACGTGCCTATTACCACCCATTCACCTGCAGTTTGTGATCAGTCAATGTTGTCGTGAAATGTTGAAGAACTACAGTTTCCTACCTTGTTGCATTATTGGATCTATGCAGGCTGTATGAGTTTTACACACACACACCTTGAGATGAACTGAGGAGTAAATACTTCTTCTATTGTGACTATTATTGATCTTTTGTATTGCCCAGACAGCAAGTGGACCCTGGTCGTGTTGTCCCTTGGAGGCAAGATGGGGGCGGCAGGGGCGTTTTCAACGCTTTACATCTTCACTGTCGAACTTTACCCAACCCCCGTCCGCAACACTGCTGTTGGTGTCGGGAGCATGTGCTCTAGAATAGGGGGGATCATTTCCCCCTACATAGCAGATCTGGTAGGTTCAGAAGATTCTCAGTGTAAGTGGCACATTTTGTAAAACCATTGTCACAAAATACAACTCTCGTGGCCTGAAAAAGGCACACATGAACACATTCTGTATTCTCTGCCTTGCCAGAGGTTTTAGTTCACATACAGATCATGTGTTCTTGCATCTGTTTGTATAGTGATACTGTTGGCTCTAGTACTGCATCCAATAATGGGGTCTATAGACGATTAGCTTTGCAGATTGCGCCTTGTAACCTCTCTAACCAGTGTCTTGTTTGGACCTGTATTTGGTAATTTCTTCCTTTTCTAGAGCATGCTGGTGAAGGGCGGGTTTGGAGAAGCTCTTCCCCTCATGGTGTTCGGTTGTGCGGCGGTATCGGCGGGAGTGTTGACCTTCTTCCTCCCAGAGACCCTCAACCAAGACCTGCCGGAGACCATCGAGGACGCCAAGAACATTGGCAGGTAATAATACTCGGAGTATATCATGGTGCTTTGACAGAGTGGATGGCATCAAGATGCGTGGCAGGAAACAGTAGTACATCACGGTGCTTGGACACCGTGTAGGACACAAACAGCTTTGGAAGGTATAGTATACCATGGTCTTTGGAAACCGTAGATGATGCCAAGACTCTTGGAAGGTAACAGTCGTATACCATGGTCTTTGGAAACCGTAGATGATACAAAGACTCTTGGAAGGTAACATTACTGGTGGTACGTCATAGTTAAAAGGCCCTGCAATACAAATATTGAATGCCCTTGAGTTGATAGAGATGCCTGGCATATATATTTATAGCAACATTATATATAGGATATATCTGTCTTATTTTCAGATCCGGGTCGAAGTGTGCGTCCAATGTGTACAACATGAGGAGGCCTCTAGATGGCCAGGACAATGCTGTGTTTACCCTGTCTGTGAAGAGCAAGGACTGAAATCAACATAAAGTGACTGTGAACGCACCCCACATAATTTTGTGTGTGTATTGATTAAATGCGTATTTTAATAATCACTCGTCTGCTCTTTTATCTATATTAGTTAATTTGCATGTTTTTTTTGCTATCTAATTGTAATAGATAGCGATAAATATCTGTGTCTAATCATATGCCACAGGCATATTCTGACTGCTTCATAAGCATGTATTTATGAATCACTATCAAATAATTATGATACATGGTATATGCACCCAGCTGCAGCACATCACAACACATGCAGAGGCAGGTCAATTGTTTACTTGTCAATCCCTCTTGTCATACATTCTTTTGGAGAGTTTTTTGTAACTGAATCTTTATGCATATGAAACAGATAATGAGGTTTCACTGGTCTCCTTTATTTCTAACTCAGGTGGGTAAATCAGTGGAATGGAATTGGCGATTTGACCCTTGAACAATATCAGATAATCGATATACCCAAAACCTGAGGTAAACCTCTTGGCCAAATTTCTATGTTTATATTTTGCCAGACAGAAACACATCAGCAAGGAGGGGAAAACATTTGGCAGCAGCGGGTATTGCCTCCTTCTTGTCTAAATGCCCTATCCCCAAATCTACAACTGTGTTATCTGTGAGGAGTCCAGCATTTCACCTATTGTTTGGTCAGTAAACTTCATGTAATATTTGCTTTCATTTTGACAAATTGTTTTGAACCTTTGATGATAACTATATCTATGGTCACCACGATCACGTAATGACGTTTTTCCTTAAGTTTGTCTTGAGGGATAGTGGTGAACAAAGTCGAAAAATCAAATGTTTTGACACATTCTACTAAGTTTGCTAAGGATCACAGCTTAAAAAGTCAATGCGTCAAATTGTGTGCATCTGCTGAAATAGCCACGGACAATATTGTGTGAATACATGCTAAAATGAGGACGCAGTTGTGCCAGTCTCGGATAAAGTAGACCACACCTGTCATATGAAAAAACACAAAAAAAGCAAATGTCCAGGCGTTTGGACGGAGCTACCAGTTCAATTCCTGAAACATACACAATTTCTTTTTATCATGAGGCAGGCAGAGATATAAAGGGTCATGGTATAATACAGCCGTCCTGGGCAATATGTGTATACAACGAAAAGAGAGAGTCATTGGATATACACGAGAGGCCTCTAAATAAACAAATTAACCAACTTTGGGTCGTTTCAGGAACTCTAAAGTAAATTTACATCAGCATAGGTGCTATCGACAATGAACAGATCTGGGAAATTTTAAATGCCATGTTCTGCTTAATGGCTTACAAGGCCTTAACAAAGAACTGTTGATTGACTATCTGCACGCTTTGTGCACAAACACGTGTATTCTCTAGAAAATTTTCCAGTCTTCAGTAAGAGCACTGGTGACTTTAAGTAAAGTTTAAGTAAAGGACAGGGCATCGTGAGAGGGCGATCTGCAGCTCGTTCCACATGTTTTCGATATGGTTGAGGTCTGGTGACTGTGCTGACCACTTCATGTGGACAATGGTCTCCTGCTCCAAATAGGCATAAACGACCCTGACAAAATGTCGTCGTGTGTTATCGTCCTGTCCGATTGCACTAGCATACCGTCTCATGATCACATCCTGGAGCTCACACATGTTATCGTGCTCTGCTGCAGGACATGGAGATCGGTTTTCCTGCTCTATTGATCCCGACCCCATTCATGATTGAGCCCCCTCCACAGTGGTCATGTTTTGCTACGCTGGAATCCTGAAATCGTTCTCCTTGTTTACCCCACACTCGGGCATGGCGATCTGTGAACAGTACTCTTGACAGAATCTCGATTCATCTGAGAAAAGTGTCCAGTTCTCGTCTGTCCAACTGTCGTGATCTTCAATCGAATCCAATGATGCCTGACTAGGATGTTGGGTCAGTGGGTTGCGAATGCATGCCCTTCCGTGACCAGAGACTATCCTTACAGAGACAATTAGGCACTGTCTGAGTGGAAAGGTTAACGCCGCTGGCGTTCTGCATATCATTTCTGAGTGTGGTGGCAGTCACGAAGTGATAACGTCTTGCTGCAATATGGAGGATCCTGTCTTCCCGCTGTGTGGTGGAACGCTGTTGACCACCTACATGTCACTGGGTGAGCTGATGCAAACGTGACTTTGTATTGACTTATAGGAGGCATCAGTTGACATGTCACTTCTACCAAGTTCCATTGGGTAGCAGATGGTTCACAATATTTTGGTCCACGTTTGAATAGCTGATGATTGTTGTTATTTGCAACGATGAAGAAGTCAGCTGGGATTTTTTATTACCAGTTTGGTTGCACTCTGATGAGTCGTGGCAGCCATAAGCAGTTCAGCAACTGCCCCAATACATCTGGTGGAGCGATCCCCGACTAGACATTGTTGTAACACAGCTCATACCACAGGGCATACGTCACATGGACTTACTAAGCGACGAACATATACATAATATACGAAATATATAAACAGTTGTATATAACTAAGAAAAAACTAATAAAGATGTGAGTTGAAAACACAATCCTTAAGCCCCCTGCTCTGTCAGTCCAAGTTGTCTCCTATGTTACTGTCTTCAATGAGAGGTCTGAGGTCACATATTCATCAACTTTATGTCATCATGCTACGCAGGTTTGATCGACATATAACTTCGATCGGCCATTTTGAATGATATCAGCATCAGGGTGATAGTTTTGATTCGTACGACAATAATGGGATAAGTGATGACGAACTCTGCTGCAAATATAAACACCTGCTGCAATATTGTACCTGGTGAGGTTCGAGCTAATGTCTCACTGATCATTACAACCTGGGCACACTGTACCCACCCTACATGTCAGCACTGGACACATTTACGTTTCTGCACGCCAGTTCGTGTTGTGCGTCGACATTCTGAGTTTTGGTGCCCCTGTCATGATGAGCCAGAAGAATAACGCCCTGCATTATTCTTGTAAATAAGCTGGATATTTGTGACTTTTCATCGTTTTTTTTTCAATATTTAAACATAAAATGAACGTTCCATTGACAAAAATATGAATAACTACTGTGGACTGCTCTGATTCGGATCTTGACTCCAGAGATCGTCCATACATGTCATCTCTGTTACGCAACAAGCAAGCCATTCAAATGATCGAACTTGTGTGGCGTCGAGTTGTAGGTCACGTCTGTTGACGTTGAGAGAGTGGCCATGCCGCGAGTGTCAGTTTCACTGGAAACACCTGGATTTTGGAAATGTTTGACATAAATAAACAGGTTTAGAAGTAAGATATTTGAAAATTAAATTATATGAATATTACTATGAATATTCAGCGACTTTTCGTAAGTAATCGGACTTCCATGACACGAGGATAAATAATTTAAATGAACATATGGATTCAGTAAGTAAACTTTGTCAATGATGTGAGATATATACACCACCCTTCAAAGAAGGTTCGTATTATATCGTTCGACTTTTAGAGATATGTATGTTGGGTACATTGCTGACTGTTGTCTGTAAGTGTAGCCTGCAGTCACCTCACCTGTGTGAGCCTCGTGTCATTGTTGCATGAATTATGTATGTGACAGTTACGTCAACCTCGACCCATTGTTCACTCAGGTGGTAACATTTCCAACCTGCCGTATCAAGTTAGAAAAAAGTCAATATTACACATAGCATAAAAGCATAACATTGTAAAGGTTTGGTCTCCACAACTGTTTATTAGAAACGGAAGTGGACATGTTTTATCCCGTGTGTATCATGTCCCGTCTGCAGCTTGTTGACATGACATCTGAGGTCACCACTAACGTTTCATGGGTGTTTATTCGGCAAACATTATAATATGAGACGAGCGAATCAGAGCTGCACCATTCTTACCTGTCATGCGAAGGTCGATGTCAAGTAAACCATCCGGGAGCGTGTGCGTTATTACCTATAGGGATATTCTTTACCCTCACACACTGACGGGATCTCGAGTGGATTTCCTCTCTCGCACAGCCAAGGTACAGTCCAATCTTTTATTTACTAGCGACAGTGATATGATGTTTTGGCTTTTTGAAAGGATTGTAGAACTTGTAGAAATATGTTCAGTGATTACTTAAGGATTGACTGTGTATTTGTTTCGGTTCATTGAGGTATGAATCGAAAAAACAAAGTGCAAACTGTATGAATCCGCATAGCGGATTCTTACAAAAGTTTGCACATTGTTTTTTTCGATTCATACCTCAATGAACCGAAACAAATACACAGTCAATGCTTATAATTTAATTCGACAACATAAAACATGTTTTATCTTCAATAGTTTAACCGAAAACAGTTGTATATATCAAAACAGACAAAAATGATGAGATTGATAAACATTCCAGGTGTAGGAATACATACTGTGGTGTGACATGAATCAGGTGATCGTTTAATTTATGCACATAACTTGACACGCCTACACAGTCAGTAGCCAATCAACCGAGAGCAGGATCAAAACAATGTTCATTGGACCTGTCAATTAAGACAAGAGGCGAAAAGAACTGCAACAGTCAGACTGTAACGAACCGGAAGAAATAAGTTCGGGATAAGGCGGCTGTTACCGCCAGATTCAAACATTACTTCCCTGATTACGGTAAAACACAGTTGGAAAAATGCTTGTTAGAAATGAAACCCGAACACATGAAAGTTGAACCGAGGCGAGCAGAAAAAAACCAGGCGAGCGAACCTGCACGTTTGCTGTTTCATTCATTCTCGGCTTTCGGTTTCAAAGGTTTGTTTGGACAATGAATATGCATTAAAGTCGCTAAATGTCTTGTGCATGAAGATACACGTGAGCAGAAAGGGAATTCCCTCGACTGTAACATTGGGATTCCCCGACATTCCGAAGTAATAAAAGTAGTGCGCCCCGGTGGGCGTGGCTAAATTCTTTACATTCATTGGGAAATGAATGCAATAACACGTGACCAATTCAGCTAATCAGAATACAGGAATTTCAATGAACACAACGAAAATTTAATCATATGTACATGAATCCTGAAGGATACTACTGGTTATCTATTTATGTTGTAGTCAAAGTTAATCAGCTGCTTATCACAACAAGTTCTGTGACCATGGAAAAAGGAACAACTTGAAAATCGGGAAGTGACCAAGTACTTGTAGATTGTTGTTTGGCTGGAAGTGGTTCACCCAGGTGTCATCCACTGTCAGAACTCGTTGCAAGAACCTTTCTGGATCAGCTTTAAACAGGGCCAGATTATGACGTTATTGATCAGATGTCAGAAGTTTTAGAAACCAAAGAGCTGATATATTCTTCATTGCGTTCAAGTGTCTGTGCTGCTGGTGTTTACTGCCTGCTTGCGATGCGGACTGAACGTTATTATAATATGATACTCATATCTCCATGGATGCCTTTCGGTGTTAAACCCTGTTCCTGCAAGTACTTTCTCACAACACGTTCTTCAGGTTTGTCCATTTTCCAACGGTCACAGACCCCTGCGTATTCTGATGTCTTTTTTGAGCATATACCTCTTGACATCATGTAATGTTCATGAAATGTTCACAAGAAAATATTCACTATTACCTAATTTTGTGAGGCTCAGAACTGTAATTAACCCTTGCAAGTATGCTTTTACAGAACCTTTGAAGACCTAGCGAGCATATCACAACAGTCGACATGAAGTCTTTCGACGAGATCCTGCATGAAGTTGGGGAATTAGGAACTTATCAGAAGAGGCTCCTGTTTTTCATTTTTCTCCCCACACTGGTGACAGCCTTCCTGACACTTTCCGGTGTCTTCACACTGTACATACCCCCTCACAGGTAACACTCCCCGTTTCTTCACGCTGTACATACTCCCTCACAGGTAACACTCTCCGTGTCTTCACACTGTACATATCCCCTCACAGGTAACATTCTCCGTGTCTTCATGCTGTATATACCCCCTCACAGGTAACACTCTCCGTGTCTTCACACTGTACATACCCCCTTACAGGTAACACTCTCCGTGTCTTCACACTGTACATACCCCCTCACAGGTAACACTCTCCGTGTCTTCACACTGTACATACCCCCTCACAGGTAACACTCTTCGTGTCTTCACGCTTTACATACCCCCTCACAGGTAACACTCTTCGTGACTTCACACTGTACATACCCCCTCACGGGTAACACTCTTCGTGTCTTCACGCTGTACATACTCCCTCACAGGTAACACTCTCGGTGTCTTCACACTGTACATACCCCCTCACAGGTAACACTCTCGGTGTCTTCACACTGTACATACCCCCTCACAGGTAACACACTCCGTGTCTTCACACTGTACATACCCCCTAAAAGGTAACACTCTCCGTGTCTTCATGCTGTACATACCCCCTCACAGGTAACACTGTCCGTGTCTTAACACTATACATACCCCCTCACAGGTAACACTCTCCGTGTCTTCACACTGTACATACCCCCTTACAGGTAACACTCTCCGTGTCTTCACACTGTACATACCCCCTCACAGGTAACACTCTCCGTGTCTTCACACTGTACATACCCCCTCACAGGTAACACTTTTCGTGTCTTCACGCTTTACATACCCCCTCACAGGTAACACTCTTCGTGACTTCACACTGTACATACCCCCTCACGGGTAACACTCTTCGTGTCTTCACGCTGTACATACTCCCTCACAGGTAACACTCTCGGTGTCTTCACACTGTACATACCCCCTCACAGGTAACACTCTCGGTGTCTTCACACTGTACATACCCCCTCACAGGTAACACACTCCGTGTCTTCACACTGTACATACCCCCTAAAAGGTAACACTCTCCGTGTCTTCATGCTGTACATACCCCCTCACAGGTAACACTGTCCGTGTCTTAACACTATACATACCCCCTCACAGGTAACACTCTCCTTGTCTTCACACTGTACATACCCCCTCACAGGTACCACTCTCCGTGTCTTCACTCTGTGCATACCTACTCACAGGTACCACTCTCCTTGTCTTCACACTGAAATCCTCTCTGTTTCCCGCCAATAGATGTGCAGTCCCCGGCCTCAGTAACGACACCTACGCCATACAGGGAGACAACCATCGTCGTCTGGTCAACTTGACCATTCCCATTAAAGATGGCGCATACTCCAAATGTGATGTCTACACGGATGACGTCACAGACCTTGCTAAAAGGTCAGACAACTCCAGTCAGTCCCAGTGTGGAGAATGGGTGTACGACAAATCAATGTTTACATCCACCATAACAGAAGATGTGAGTTGTAATTTGTCATTCAATTTTGTTTATTCCTGGTTAATTATTGTATGGACAATATGTGATATTTAAAAAATAATAATTGAATACATTTATTACTTGCACAGTGAAGCTTATATATACATATATATTTTTTAACAATATCACCATTTTTAACAATGTGATGATGTTCCTTGTTCCTGAGCTATATCTGCTTTCTCGCAGCTTAGCTTGGTGTGTGACAATAAAGTGATGCGGTCCCATTCCAACATGGTGGTGATGGCGGGGAAGCTTGTTGGCTCCTTTGGGCAGGGTCTCATCAGCGACATGTGAGAATACTTTAACTTGTCTTAATAGACGTCAGCCTTCTATTACTGATAGATATCAATAATAAATACCATTTGGACACGCTTCACTCTATATTTTATGCTACAAAATGTTTCCTAAGTATAAAGTATTGATGATATAAAAAAATCATCCAACAAATAAAGACTTTAATATCCCGTACACAATAATTTGGTAACCCCTTTAGATCCTCAATTTCATGACAAACGGACATAAGCAGGATGTGCACGATGTACTTGAAAACATGTGTTGCACATCATTGCAGGAGAGCGCAACAACATTTGCCACATTTGCAACTGGATGTTTTTTGACGACTGAAAAAATCGACAGATACATAGGCATCCTTGAAACTGGGTCACCACACGGTCACTTTGCAAATGTCTTTGGTGATCAGCAGAGATTTGGAACAACTTCCTAGTGACATATAACGACAGCAGGAAGACGTGTTTCACATGATTGCAGCTGTTATCACTTCATGACTGCCATCACACTCAGAAATGACCAGCAGAACGTTTTAGATGTTTCTACGGCGCGTAGTCGTCTCAGTGAGTCTCTGGTCACTTTAGAGGAGGCATGCATTCACATCCCACTGAGCCGACATCACAGGCAGGCAAGTTTGGATTGGACTCACATCAGTTGGACAGACCAGGCCTGGGCTCCAGCACTTTGCACTGATGAATCGCGATACTGTCTATACTTCACAGATCGTTGTACGCGAGTGTGGCGTAAACAAGGTGAAAGATTTAAGGTTTCCAACAAAGCCGAACATTACCGCTATGTAAGGGGTTCAATCATGATCAATAGAGCCGGAAGAACCGATCTCCTACAACAGGACACGATGACAGGTGTGTGCTACAGCGATGACAAACTGGGTGTGAAAATGAGATCGTATGCTGGTGCACTCGGACCGGACTTCATCCTCATGGTCGATAAAGCACAACCTTATCATGCCAGGGTCGGTTATGCATACTTAGAGCAGAAGTCCATTGTACTCATGAAGTGCCCAGCCTGGTCACCAGACCTCACCCCTATCCGACACGTGGCGACCGAGCAGCAGAAGCCTTGTCCTTCCGGTAACTCTACTTCCCCTTTCACTGAAGAGTGGAGCAATCTTCCCTTGGCAACAATCCAGACACTTATTGGGAGCATGGGAAGGCGATGCCAGGCTGTGATTGCACCACGTGAATCACATATGCGCTACATGGGCGTTGTTTTTGATGGACAATTAATTTGTCTTACGTGTCAATTTCGGTCAGATTCTCTCATTTTGCAGGTGATCTGAGTTTGTTTGTTGGCATTGCGTGACACATAACACCGGATTTTTGTTCATTGTTCGTCTTCATGCAATATTGTCCTTAGCTTTTTCAAGAAATGCACACATGTGACATAATACCTTTTAAAGGGGTGATCCTTAGCAAACTTTGAGTCGTTTATTATGGATGAAATTCGAATCAACAGTTACAAGGCAACGGGAGTAAACTTCCTTATAATCTCTTTCTTACAGGTTCGGGCGGAAGAAAGCGTTGATGATGTTCTTGTGTGTGATGATTTGTGTCGGCTTCCTCAACTACGTCATCCAAGACTTCGCCTCCCTCATCATCATCCGCTTCCTCTCCGGCTTTGGGTCAACATCTGTATACATTGCCACTTTCGTCTTGGGTAGGCTTTAGATCTATGCAGGACATGGAGCTTTAGTTAGCAGAACATGGCATTTTGAAATTGTATTCATAAACTGTACACACATATTGCCCAGAACATTTGTAGTATGCCAATATGTTGTGTTTGTTTCAGGAATGGAACTGGTTGCTCCTTCCAAACGCTTGTACCCTGGGAATTTAGTCCTGTTTTTTTGGGTGACGGGGATGCTTCTGATGTCGGGTGTGGTCTACTTTATCCGAGACTGGCACAACTATGTCCTCACTTTAGCATGTGCTCCAGTCCTCTTTCTTTCCTACTGGTGGTAAGTCCTTCTCGGGGTTAGTCCTGACCCTCTTCCTCACCTACTGATGGTAAGTCCCGACCCTCTTCCTCTCCTGCTAGTGGTACGTCCTGACCCTCTTCCTCTTCTATTGGTGGTAGGGTCCTGACCCTCTTCCTTTCCTACTGGTGGTACGACCTGACCCTCTTCCTCTCCTACTGGTGGTACGACCTGACCCTCTTCCTCTCCTGCTAGTGGTAAGTCCTGGTCCTCTTCCTCTCCTATTGGTGGTAAGGTCCTGACCCTCTTCCTCACCTACTTGTGGTACGTCCAGACCCTCTTCCTCTCCTATTGGTGGTAAGGTCCTGACCCTCTTCCTCTCCTGCTGGTGGTTAGTCCTGGTCCTCTTCCTCTCCTATTGGTGGTAAGGTCCTGACCCTCTTCCTCACCTACTTGTGGTACGTCCAGACCCTCTTCCTCTCCTATTGGTGGTAAGGTCCTGACCCTCTTTCTCTCCTTCTTGGGGTAAGTCCTGACCCACTTCCTCACCTACTTGTGGTACGTCCTGATCCTCTTCCTCTCCTTCTTATGGTGAGTCCTGACACTCTTCCTCTCCCGCTAGTGGTAAGTCCTGGTACTCTTCATCACCTACTTGTGGTAAGTCCTGGTCCTCTTCCTTACTTACTGGTGGTAAGTCCCGACCCTCGTCCTCTCCTGCTGGTGGTAAGTCCTGACTGTCTTCCTTTCCTACTGGTGTTGGGCGGTTGGGTAGCTCGTCATGCTGAAGACCCGGGTTCAATTCCTGACATAGGTACAATGTGTGAATCCCATTTCTGGTGTCCCCGCCATGATGGTGCTGGAATATTGCAAAAAGTGGCGTAATACCATACTCACTCACTTACTCTTACTGGTGGTACGCCCTGATCCTCTTCTTTCTTCTCCTGTGATAAGGCCCCGGCCCTCTGCTAGTTGTGGCGAGATGCTGCCATGGGCCTCATTCCATAAAGTGATCTTAGCACTACGACTTATGTCGTAAGCCTATGCAAAAGAATGGGAGCTACGATCAACTTAGCACCAAGATCGTTTCGTGGAATGGGTTCTTCACGGGGTCTTGAGGCCCTAACCCTCTTTACATTATCAGACCTAGGGATTTGTTTTCATTAATTGTCTCCATTCAAAGAGTCAAAGTCGTACTTTTGTAAGATGAGATAATTACGTAGCAAGGCTGCCTCACCAGCTCAAGAGTAATATAAATAAAATGCCAAGAACTAGTCCACCATACTAGCCATGCATGTAAGCAGACTTAAATAAGTTTACGACAATAGCATATGTCCTGGTTGTTTGTGAGTCATCATATCGAATGGAACTGATGTTCTAACCGTCCAGAATTCTGTTCATCTCTGTTAAAGGTTTATACCCGAGTCTCCAAGGTGGCTTATATCCAAAGGCAGGTTTGGAGAAGCAGAAGTCATCATCCGGAAGTTTGCGAAAGTCAACAAGACCACAGTTCCGGAAAATATGTTTGATGGCAAATATGTGGAGGAGACTAAAGCTCCAACAGGAAAACTGTCTGAGCTGCTGACAAACAGAACCCTGGCCATACGCAGCTTCATACTCTTATTTCATTGGTACGTAAACGTCATCATGGATAGATATATGAGAAACCTTATTTAAACACTGTAAACATATACTTTGAGGCATATTAAAAAGATTGGCAAAACTGATCAACAAAGTTGAAATTAAAGTGTCAAATGTTCTTAAAGTGAAACACAACACTAGTTTCTGAGAAAATGGCATCACAAGTCAGTATCTCATGTGTCCGCCATGTGCATTGATGACTGCCGTGCAACGTCGATACAAGGAATGGATGAGGCGGTTGATTAAGGCCATAGGCACTTGAGCCAACACTCTGAGGAAGGCCTGACACAGTTCAGCTGCAGTTTCGGCCTTGGTCGGACGTCATTCAACCGTCTTTGAATCTCGTCCCACAGGTGCTCAGTGCGATTTAAATCGGGACTGAGGGCAGGCCACTGCATGGTTCTGATGCCATTCTGCTGAAGGAAGTCTCTTGTTGCTCTCGCAGTGTGGGCACGGGCGTTATCATGCTGAAACTCGTGGTTGTGGCGACGTGCCAAATGAGGTATGGCGTGTGGTCTCCAGACTTTATCAATATACCGAGCTGCTGTGCCACCCTTGCCTCTCCTTGGACTGATGTTCCGGAAGACCACAGGGCCGACCCTCTGTGCAAGACCAATTCCACCCCACACCATGATGCTCGGACCACCCCACGAGTCTCTCTCAACACAATCATCCGAATAATGTTCCCCACGGCGTCGCCAGACTCTCTCTCTGCCATCTGCTGTTGAGATACAGTAGCAGTTCCGTCTGAAAAGGAGACTCTTTTCCACTGCTGGTGGCGCCAGTGCCAAAAACGGTCCCGGCGATGACGTGGTGTCAGAATTGGTCCTCAGTGTGGCCTGTGACAGTGGTGTCTGCTCGTCAGTCGTCGACGCATGGTGTCCGCAGCAGTAACAAAGCGATCTTGAAGATGCCGTCGCACAATCTGACGACCCAAACGTCGGGTGGTGACCCTTGACCGTCGGTCATCTGTAGTGTTGGTTGTCTGGTACCGTTGCTGGATCCTGTATATGGTCCTTACGTGAACTTGAAATTCTTTGGCTACTTTGACCGGCTTGCAATCGTCCAATTCAACACCTACTTCCTCTTGTATATACGCGTTATTCAACATCTTATTCATTTGGTATATGCGTGTTATTCAACACCTCCTTCCTCTGGTATATGCGCTTTATTCAACATCTCATTCCTTTGTTTTATACTCGTTTTCAACATCTCCTTCCTCTGATATATACATGTTTTTCTCCTTTCTCTGGAAATATCCGTCGGATTTAACGTGACTTGTAATGTGTTAAACAGGGCTGTGTGTAGTCTGACCTACTACGGCTTAACACTGAACGTCACCAACCTCAGTGGCAACGTCATCAACAACTTCGTTTTTTCTGCGCTGGTGGAGGTGGCTGGGTATCTGCTGACACTGTTTCTGCTCGACAGAGTTGGACGGAAGTGGCTCCATTGCGGCTTCTTCCTGGGCGGGGGCCTTGCGTGTCTCGCAACCATCTTCCCAGTCCTCTATGCTGGAGAGGGTATGTACCTCTTCTTCAATAGTTTGTGCCCTTTATTCATGCACTGATTGTGAATCTATTCGGCGGCTTTATCTGGATTTTTAATTTTATGCTATTTTAAAAAAAATGGATATGTTTGACCTACGAGTACTACTGCTATCAGTACTGAAGACATGGTCAATATATACACAAAAGTTAAGCGCCACCCACCATATTTGTGAGCTGTTACTTTTGCCACTTAATGATGACTATTATAACGAGATGTACGATTGTTATAAGCCGTATATGTAAACCTCATGTGATGCAAAAGTTGTCCCAAAGCAAGTTTACCTTGTGTTCCAAAAGAATATGAACAGAAAGGAAGTTTACCGAAGGCCAGAAATTGAAGGATTAGAAAACATTGAAAAACTTTTTTTGTCATGTAACTGTCATGACATCAGCAGACCATATCAAGTGTCACATAGACACCCTAGGGAGTCTATTGCAAGACAGAAACGACAGTCACGTGTGTATGATCCACGGACATTGACCACAGCTTCAACCTGGCCCTGCATTACATGCCAGCATTTTTCATGCCTATCACTTGCCATCTTTCAGTGTCCGTTAACTTTCTCCTCACCATGGCTGATTTTCAACCTCTATTGGCAAGGGAATCTCACACAGGAGCAAAATGCAACCACGTGTCTGAAACTTCACTATTTATAGGGCAGGGGAACTGCAGCAACATGTAAAGCAAGCTTTCCGTGTTGTATCTGGACAAATTTGGGTTCATGAAACTATGGAAACCTAATTCAGTCACACGTGAAATCAAGAGAATATGAACGTGGTGGCGCTTAACCTTTGTGCATGTTTATATAACAGTTTGACAGCATATATGTTTTTTATAAAATCTCCTATTTTGCGCAGACGCGAAGTGGACGCTCGTATTGCTGTCCCTGATTGGCAAGATGGGAGCGTCAGGAGCCTTCGCCACCGTCTACATCTACACCGCCGAACTCTTTCCAACTCCCGTCCGCAATGTCGGGCTTGGGGCCGGGAGCATGTGCTCGAGACTTGGGGGTGTCATTTCTCCCTACATTGTAGATCTGGTACGTTGAGAACTTCCTCTAGATGCTTGCTCTAAATATTCAAAAAACCCAACCATTGTCACATTGAAGTATGGGATCAGAGTCCGCAGCAATGTTACTTTTCTTAAAAGCATTGACTACGGTGTATATGATGTAGTGGTGCTTATTGCTGACACAATACTTCATTCTGCAGGGCATCTTGGTGGAGGGAGGGTTTGGAGAAGCTCTTCCCCTCATGGTGTTTGGTGGTGCGGCGGTATTGGCGGGAGTGTTGACCTTCTTCCTCCCGGAGACCCTCAACCAAGACCTGCCAGAGACGATTGAGGACGCCAAGAACATTGGCCGGTAATAATACTCGGTGTATATCAGTACCATTGTGCGTCAAGACGCTCGGCAGGTAACAGTATTCAGAGTATATCATTAGCACGATGCTTGGACACCGTGGAGGAGGACAAGACCATTGCCAACAGGTAACAGTTGTATATCTTCATGGTGCTTGGACACCGCGGAAGACGTCAACTTTCTTGGTCGGTAACAATTGTACTGTAAATTCCGTTTATAACAAACACGCTTATATCAAACAGATTGGTATAATGAACTATTTCTTGATCCCGTACATTTGCTGTATACATGTTGTACATATGCTTACAATGAACTGTGGTTAAAACAAATTAGGTTGCATCGCAGTGGCATTGTCTGTGTGACTGAGGCTTTAAACATCAACATATGATTGGACTTCACGTGGTTTGATTTAATTATAGTAAGATGTGGGTCCCAGAAACCTTGTATGGTTCCACCTCTCATTTGTCTTGAAAGAGCGAACCTCAAAGAATCCCACACTATAATCACGGTCGATCCCTATTACATCACGGTAAACTATCTACTTCATCTTTCAGAACTCGGGCCAAGTCTGCTTCAAATGTTTACGAAATGAGGAAGTCACTGGATGGCCGGGACATTGCTGTGTTTGCTCTGTCTATCAAGAACAGAGACTGAAATAGTTATAACTGTCCCTGTCCACATGTAACAAAGATATTTGGATTAAAAACGTACTTGAACAATCTGGACATGTCTGGTCTTTCTGGTAGCAGCAGAATATCATGGTGCTTGGACACTGTGGACGATGACAGTGACTTGATGATAACTGACATTGACTCTGAGGTACTTGATGGCCGAGACAATGCTGTGCTTGATCTCTCTATCAAGAACAGAGACTGAATAGTTATCCACGCTCCTTATCTATGCCTAACAGACATACATTTCTTATTCATTGAGGGCACAGGTCTTGCGACATTCAGAGTAGTCTCGCAGAACAGAGAATAAATACAATTGGCGGCAAGGATGGGACTCAACAGTTTAACAGTGCAAACATCTAAAACGAATTTAGAAATTTAGAGACTGATAAGATAATCCTATAAATCTATCTTTTGTGGAGGACGACAAACTAGTACAGGATGCAAACAGGTAGATATCCTGAGGTAGGAACTGACTTAGAATTAACTCCATCACTGTCACTCAGAACACCATCATTTGACAGTGAGAGTGGTGAAGTATTTTCCCCTGTGTCAGCAGAATCACAAGAACAGGCTGGAACAGGTACAGTCTGAGTCACATCACCAGATATACACTGTGGTGACGTGGGAAGGGCCGAGTAGCTACGGCCAACATCACAGAGGTCTCTGTGTTAAACCGCCATGCAGAGAACTACATCCAAGAAAGAGGACCGTCTCGAGAACTGACAACATCAGGTGTCCACTTATCATGACCAGCTCTGTAATCTCGAATGGACACTTCCTGTCTGGATTCAGCGTACCTAGGTCGACGTTGCTTGCCACACTCAATGCCCAGCTGTTTCTCTTGAACGGTTTTTCTGATGGTAGGCTTCATCAAATCAAAACGCGTCCTGGGGTGTATGTTCATAAACAACCACGCTGGTGTTTCACCAGTGGTAGAATGAACTGATTTCCTATAAGACAGGGGGAATTTAGATATTTTACTCTGCATTGTCCAAGACAGTGGCTGGCTTTTTCTGAGATAATCGACATCCCGAGCACAGCCTTGATTTCTTTCAGTGTTCCAATTCGTCCGCCGAAAACACCAGGGTACTTGTCAAGGATTGAACTTAACTTCTGTGACACAGACGATGATGAGAGTTGTCCTACCTGAAAAGTCTTGATACTCCTCCTATCAGGTTTGATCTGGTTTAACCAGTTCCTTCCAAAGTGAGTGAGTGAGTATGGTTTTACGCCGCTTTTAGCAATATTCCAGCAATATCACGGTGGGGGGGCACCAGAAATGGGCTTCACACATTGTAACCATGTCGTGAATCGCACCCGGGTCTTCGGCGTGACGAGCGAACGCTTTAACCACTAGGCCACCCGACCGCCCCATTCCTTCCAAAGAGAGGCGTACCATTACGCTCAATCACAGAAATTTCGAGGTCACAGCAGGTCGGACCATAGCTTGCAAGTTGCGTTTTGTGTTTATGTCCAAATAGCATACCTAAGCTATCCACCGGTTTAGACTTATCCCGAAAAGAAAGCTGAATGAGATTTGATATTAATGTTATGAAATTTGATTTGATCTCTTACAGCAGTTACCATAGCAACAGCGGTCTCTACTGCCTTAGCAAAAATTAACTTGTTGTCTGCCAGCAAACGCCTCTGAACAGTCTCTATTCTAAGTCCGCAAACGAAACTGTCTCTGGGTGCATCGTTTACATTAGTACCAAATTCACAATGTTGTGACAAACGCTTCAATTCAGCTACACAAGAGAGCTAACACCCTTGCCAGGTGTCTGAACTCTTTCATGAAAATGGAAACGTTCTGCAATAATGATGGGTTTTGGTGATTGGTGATCTCTCAAGATTTTCACTATACCATCAAAAGTTTTGTCTTTTGACTTGTCTGGACCTGTCAAACTTTTCAAAAGGGAAAACACATGTTTTGGGTTCATCAATATCATTCGCAGCAAAGTAAACTTCAGAACAACATACGTTGACCGATCTTCCAATGACTCATTAAATTCACCTAGAACTTGCCTTAATGTTAAAACAGTCAAAATATCACCTGAACGAGAAACGTAAATGAACACTTATTATACATAATAAGCGTAGATAAACAAGTGTTTATACAGAATATATCTTGTGTACATAAATATACCAAGTGATTATACACAGGATAGTAACTTACTTACATAGTTTCCATTACAAGTAAAGGGATTTGGCAAAAGTATTTAAACCATAGGGCTGAAAGATACAAAGTTCATCATGCAACATATAGGCCAACATGCGGTGGCTACACACAGTGAAGCAATATATAGAGAATACTGCACTCATTCACGTTAGATACCATTATTACGACACGAGTGGATTTCTATGGTATCAGATCGAGCGAAAACGAGGTCAGATACCATAGAAAGTTCACGAGTTGGTATCTAACGAGAATGAGTGTGGTATTTTATTTATTGCCCACGTCAAATATACATTGAAGTGTAAATACATAACAACTTTCGTCAATTGACAGACCAAACTGAAACTGGTTGCAAAATCTGGATGCGCATGAATATTGATATATGCCCAAATATGGGCATTGTTGACATTTCTGTGCATCCGCATTAACAACATGCGCCTGCAGTTGTGTTTGCAAATAAAACAGCACCGACGCTCAAGATCCTTTGGGAAGAAATTCTTCAACTTATGGTAATTCAAGCGCCATGTTGTAAGTACGAAAGACACCTATAAGAAAATTTGAAAAGTCACATTAGCGCCGCGCTTTGAATATCGGACTGACGGTCGGTCACTCGCACTGCCGGTGTCCTATCTGTTTAATCAAAATGGCTCGGTTTCCTTGATCTATCAGCAGAATTTATATCATGTCCGTACCATTTTGGAAGAGGGAAATCAGACTGTTCGCCAAAGACATTCATGTTAACTGTACCACCCTATATACTGAAGACGTAAAAATCAACAAACTCAAGTCTGGTTGCATGTCAGTGACAGCTTCGAACGATCGAAACGGTCACCACCAGAATAAGAAAAGACAACCGTGATCTACTCACAGCGTTTTATGCTAGAGATGGGGAATGTTACTGTTCACATTTGGAATGTTTGGGGCTACAAAATCAGAAGTCAGGCACACTTCCACGGAGTTTTCGAAGGATTTGTTTCAGAACTGTTCACTTTTAGTGATCTGGTCGTGCTGTCGTGTGCGTTCATTCATGAACAACGCCTCCCGAAACAGCGCCACAAAATACACTTCGAAGGGGACACTGATGGCACAACCGGATCATCCCAAGTAAATCTAGATATCTAGATAGTTTAAACAGACTTCATTTCACCACGCTTATCCCTTTACGTTAAATCAAATTGAAAGTTGCGACAGCGGTCGGGTGCGTCACGCTCATGGGGACCCTCGCTCTATTGATCGGTAGTCGTACATTGTAAATGGATATAGCTCGATTATATAATGTCTGTAGAAGCTCTATGCATAACTGTATATAGGATGCAAACCAAATTTGATGCGTGTGACTATTTCGTATGGTTTAATAAAGTGTTTGTAAATATCTCTCGTTCTCATTAATTTCTTCAGTTCTTCCTTGTAGTTGCAAAATGAATGACGTCTCGCGCTTTTTTATGAACGAAAAAAGTAGTCCCGGTGTGACAGAGGTCGCGGTTATCCAATCAAAACGAATAAAACAAGGTCATCCTTGTACGACACACGTGTGACGTACGGGTTTAGTATCTTACCACTTGTATCTTCACCACGTGGGTAATAAAGTGAAATCTCCACAAGTTACCTATAAGAAACATGCAAGGGAGGTAACTCATCCACAAAACAGTTTTGTCCAAATAAAACAACACATATTTCTTGTGTTAATGCATAAATATACCAAGTGATTATATATAGGCTACATCTTGTGTTGATAGATATACATTGATGGGTCTGTGTCAATATCCCTAGTTGCCCGTATGTTTGCCAAATCAAAAACTTTTATTTCTGGACTGTGGGACAAGTAGTATCAGCGGGAGGGGTTGCCATGAGACGTAGGACCAACCTCACCTGGACAGGATCGTCTCACTACGTTAACTGCACCACGCAACAGATTCAACTCGGCTCTTGTTGTCAATGGGGAATTACGTCCGTACATTAACAGGAAGTCGAATTTCTACATCAACCGTTAAAAACCGGCTCTGTTCGTCCCGCCTGAAAGAAAGGCGTCCTCTGACGGGTATGGCCTGACCACAGGTGGCAAGGATTGGAGTGGGCTGCATCTAGGCAACTGCAGGGACGGGATGTGCGCCATCGGCATTACACCATGTTTACACACGTATCAAGGTTTTGCTCCGATAGATGTCAGAGTACTTTGTTGACAACGTTGCGGCGAACGGTATATGCTAGGGCAACTATGTTTTACAATGATCATCACAGGCCGGAAGTGTCATGGTGTGGGGCGGCATCACACGTGACAGGCGAACTCTTTGAGTAAATGTGAATGGAGATTAGCAACCTCTTGTTCCATTCACTGGTATTATCGGCAGAAAGTTTGAACTGCAAGTTGACAGTGCCAGACCACAGACTAACTCGGCACTGATGATCTCCGACGAGAAGTAATACGGCCCGCTACGTCCCCGAGGAGTCCCCAATAGAGCATCTGAAACCATCTGGGATGATGTTCTCGGGCGTCGAGTGTACACCAGAACATTGCACCCGCCCAAGTGAGAGAGAGAGAGAGAGAGAGAGAGAGAGAGAGAGAGAGAGGGAGAGAGAGAGGAGGGAGAGAGAGAGAGTGAGAGAGAGAGGGGGAGAGCGAGAGAGGAGGGAGAGAGAGGGAGAGAGGGAGAGAGAGAGAGGAGGGAGAGAGAGAGAGTGAGAGAGAGAGGGAGAGAGCGAGAGAGGAGGGAGAGAGAGGGAGAGAGGGAGAGAGAGAGAGGAGGGAGAGAGAGAGTGAGAGAGAGAGGGAGAGAGCGAGAGAGGAGGGAGAGAGAGGGAGAGAGGGAGAGAGAGAGAGGAGGGAGAGAGAGAGAGTGAGAGAGAGAGGGAGAGAGCGAGAGAGGAGGGAGAGA